ATGGCGCGCAAGTCTCCTCACTGCGCTATGATTGTACGTTTTCCGAGGTGGAGGTTCAGAATATTAGATTTAATTAGTAGTTTTTAATCTTATTGCTTTTCAAAATACTTGTACATGTTGTTGTCATTGTTCTTGTTGTTTCTTGTTTATTATTATTATTATTTTGTATTATTGTTATTATTATTATTATTATTATTATTATTATTATTATTATTATTATTTATTATTATTATTATTATTATTATTATTATTATTATTATTATTATTATTATTATTGATGCTGTTGTAGTTGTTGTATATTATTAGATTATTATTACTATCATTATTATTATTATTATTATTAGTTGTATTATCATTATTATTGATATCATTATTATCATTATCATTAGTGCTACTACTACTGCTAATACTATCATTATTATTATCATCATTGTTATTGTTATTAACATTGTTATTAACTATAATTATTATTATCAAATTATTACTGTCAGTATCATTAACATCTTTTTATTAGTATTATTATAAATATTATTCTTTCTTCTTCTTCCTAGTATATTATTATTATTATTGTTATATTATTATTATTATTATTATTATTGTTATTATTATTATTATTATTATTATGATTATTATCATTACTATTATTAGTTTTGTTAATATTACTATTATTATTTGTATGATTATATTATGATGTTATTATTTTTTTATTATTTTTTTATTATTATTATTATTGTTGTTGTTATTATTGGTTATTATTATTATTATTATTATTATATTATTATATTATTATTATTATTATTATTATTATTATTATTATTATTATTATTATTTATTACTATTATACTTAATTATTATTATCATTATTATTATTATTATTATTATTATTATTATTATGTAATTATTATTATTAATTATTATTATTGATGCTGTTGTAGTTGTTGTATATTATTTATATTATTTTACTATCTTTATTATTATTATTATTATTAGTTGTATTATCATTATTATTGATATCAATTATTATCATTATCATTAGTGAATACTACTACTGCTAATACTATCATTATTATTATCACCATTGTTATTGTTATTAGATTGTTATTACTATAAATTTTTATTATCATTATTACTGTCAATATCATTAACATCTTTATTAGTATTATTATAAAATAATATCATTCTTTCTGCTTCTTCCTAGTATATTTATTATTATTATTGTATTATTATTATTATTATTATTATTAATTGTTATTATTATTATTATTATTATTATGATTATTATCATTACTATTATTAGTTTTGTTAATATTACTATTATCTAATTGTTATGATTAATATTATGCATTTGTTACTATTTTTATTATTTTTATTATTATTCATTATTGTTGTTTTGTTATTATCTGATTAATTAATTATTATTATTATTATTATTTATTATTATTATTATTATTATTAATTATTATTATTATTATTATATTTATTATTATTATTAACTATTATATTATTATTATTATTATTATTATTTATTATTATTATTATTATTATTATTATTATTATCTATTATTATTATTGATATTATTATGTATTATTAATTATTATTATATTATTTATTAATATTATTATTTATTATTATTATTATTAATCACCTCGCATCAATCAATCAAATCATGTATTATTCATTGTTACTGCTATTATTATTATTTTCTTTTATTATCAATTAACTTGTCTGTCATTATCATCATTTATCCCTATTAGTGACCAATTATCATTTATTATATATTTATTGTTTATTATATATTATCACCTATCATTAATGAACGTGACGAATGGAATAAAGCACTACTAATACTTTCGCTACCTTATTACTATTATCATCTGTTATTGTTATTGTTTTTATTATTATTATTATTATTTAATGATTATTATTATTATTATTATTTATTATTATTATTATTATTATTATTATTATTATTATTATTATTATCTCAATCATCGATTATTATTCATAATCAATTAATAGTGTTATACTACTATCATCAAAATTATCATTATTATTTAGTAAATATATTTCATTTTTTTATTATATTATTATTTACTGAATTAGTTGTGTGTTAATAATAATAATAATAATAATAATAATAATAATAATAATAATAATAAAATAATAATAAAAAATAATAATAATAATATATAATAATCAATAATAATAATGATAATTAATTATTAGTATTGCATTATTTTTATTAATGCTGTTATATTGCTATTACTATTTCATTATTTTTATTATTACATCATTAATGATAATGCAATTATATAATTAATGTCGACTCTTATTTTACTTTTGACTTTTCTTCTTTATCTTTTTTTTCTAGCGTTCTTTATCATCCACATTTATTACGAATGAGATAATTCCCTTAATGATATCCTCCTTTATTTCTCTGTAAATTGTTCATTGTTCTTGTAGTTGATTTTATATCTTTTCTTTGATTTATTGATCCTTGATAACAGAATGACGCAAATGGAACAATGACAACAGCGATATCCAAGATGTGAATAAAGGGGCAAATGTATTGTATTATTAGTATTATTATTATTCAATGTTATTGCTGTTATTGTTGTTATTGTATTATTCTTATAAATTATCTTTATTGTTATCACTAGTATCCACTATGTATATATATATTATATATATATATATATGTACTATAATGTATATATATATATATAATATATATATATATATGTGTATAATATGTATATATATATATATATAGTATATATATATATATATATATATATATATATATATATATATATATATATGTATATGTATATATATATATGTATGTATGTATGTATGTATGTATGTATGTATATATGTACATATAATACCATGTTTTACCGGCCAACGCCACCCACGCAAACCGCCCTCCTAACCCTGTTCCTCCTCCCACAGGCGTACTACCGGCAGGGCGTGGCGCTCCAGTGCCTGGGCCGCCATGCCGACGCCCTGGCCGCCTTCAGCAGCGGCCTCGCGCAGGATCCCAAGTCACTCCAGCTCCTGGCGGGGCTTGTGGAGGCCGCCATGAAGAGTCCCTCAGAGGTGAGTTCGCGAGAGGTCATTCCTGGCTCCTGACGGCGGCGCAGAAAGGAGGTTTTTTTCGATCTCTGGTTGCTTTTCCTGACGGCGACGCAGGAGGAGGAGGAGGAGGTCTTTCGGTCTCTTTTCTACTTTTCCTTGGTGTTTGTTGTATAGGATAGGGAGGCAGGCGGTCTCTTTTCCTTCTGCGCCTCCGTCGTTAGAAATCTTTTTTTTTTTTTTTATTCGTTGTCTCGTTCTTCCGTATCCTCCCCTTTTGTTGATGTATATTTGACTTCAATTTCCTACTCTCCGAGGAACGAAGACTTCAGTCCATCCATTCTCTTCGTCTTAGAAACCCCCCCCCCCCTCTCTTCGTTCTTTCTTTCTTTCTCTTTTTTATTCTCTCTCTCTCACTTTCCCTCTCCCTCCAACTTTCTCTCTCTCTGTTTTTTTTTCATTCTCTCTCTCTCACTCTCGCTCTTCCTCCTACTTTCTCTCTCTCTCTCTCTCCTCTCCTCTCTCTCTCTCTCTCTCTCTCCTCTCTTTCTCTCTCTCTCTCTCTCTGCTCTCTGTTTCTCTCTCTCTCTCTCTCTCTTCTTCTTCTTCTTCCTTGCCCTACTGCCAGAGACTTCTTGTTCTTCCATGCCTTATAAGGTAAAAATACCCTTTTGCTGCTTATCGTCATTTTATAATCATCTTTTTTAATCGTTAATAAAAAAAAAGATAAATAAAAAATAAAATCATCCCCTGCTCATCACACTCTCATGCACGTTCTTCGCAATGGTCTTCATCATGCACGAAGAACCATGCAACGATGGGTGAAATGTCAGAGATGAAAAACTCTTGTACAAAAAAAGGGGTAAGACGTACAAGTAATTCGTTTCTTGTACAAGTGAGACGAGACCGTGACGTCACCAAGCGTACCACTGGCTTCGTGGTGCGACTGGAATTGAGTTAAAAGTTCGTCCTGGACAAAGTTGTGACGAGTGTTGTGAAATAATGATAAAAAAGGGGTATGGAAGAGGATATTTTTTATTTTTTTTTTTATTTTTTTTTAGAGTAACCTATTCTTCATTTTTTTTCTTTCTTTCTTTCCCTTTATCTCCGTGTCTTCTATCTGTCTTCCATTCCCCAACTTCCCCCATTCCTTCCTTCTCTCTGACCCCAAATTCCCTCCCCCTCCAAAGTTGTGACAAAGTTGTGACGAGTGCTGTAAAATAATGATAAAAAAGGGGTATGGAAGAGGATTTTTTTTTTTTTTTTTTTTTTTTTTTTTTTTAGAGCAAGCTGAGTTATCGGCATTTCCGATTTCACAGACCTCGTCGTAAATTGCCGGTCTGTGAAATCGGTTCGTTAATAGAGTAATGGCTTGTGAAATTTTTAATTCTTATGCATACATGTATATATATATTTTTTTTTTCTCATCTTTTCATTTAATTGATAAAACGTTAATTTCGAAGGGGGATAGGAAAACTTAATCGATTAATCTTAATGCGAAACTTGTTTAATTAATTCTGATAGAAATTCTTAATTAATTAATTTCAAATCTTCCTTTTTTTTCTTATCTCAACCCTTTACCTCATCTTCCCCTGTTGCAGCTTCTTAAAAATGATTTCTTTAATTCTTTCTCCTCTCAGACTCTCTCTTTCTCTGTCTTTGTCTGTCTCTCTCTGTCTTCTCTCTCTCTCCCTTTCTTTCTTTTTTCTCTCTCACTCCACTCATATTGTTTATCTATTTATCCCTTCCTTTCCATCTTTCTCTTTCTCTCTCTGTTCCTGCCTCTCTGTCTGTCTGTCTGAATCTCTCTCTATTCTCTCTCTGCCTCCCTCCCTCCCTCTTTCTTCCTCCCTCTCTCTCTATCTCTCCCTCCCTCCCTCCCCCTTCCTCCCTCTCTCCCCACTCTCCCTCCCTCCCTCTCCCTCCCTCCCTCCCTCCCTCCCCCTCTCCCTCCCTCCCTCCCTCTCCCTCCCTCCCTCCCCCCCTCTCTCTCTCTCATAAAGACACCAACCACACGGGCCAGAAAGTCTCCTTCTTCCCGTTGTGTCTTTTATCGCAAAATCACCCGTCTTGATTCACCGTAAAAAAAAAAGAAAGAAAGAAAAAAAAAAAAAAGAGGAGGAGCTCTTAACTGCGTCATTCATTCGTCCACTTTGTAAGGGCCAGTTTGGGGGGGGGGGGGGGCGCCCCGCTGGGTGCACTTGGGCATGCTGGGTGGGGGGGGCGGGTAGGGGTTTGGGGGAGGGGGGATAGGGGGGATAGGGGGATGGGAGGATGGGAGGAGGGTGGGGGTGCACTTGGGCATGCTGGGGGGGGGTAGGGGGTAGGGAGGGGGTAGGGGGATGGGGAGGGGATTGGTGGTTTGTGGGAGGGGGGATGGGGGGAATAGGGGATAGGGGGATAGGAGGAGGGAGAGGGGGATAGGGGGATAGGAGGAGGGTGGGGGTGCACTTGGCATGCTGGGTGGGGGGGGGGTAGGGGGGGAGGAGGGATGGGAGGTGGGTAGGGGTGGTAAGGGGGGTTGGGTGGTAAGGGGAGGTGGAGGGGAAGGGGGATGGGGGAGGGGGAGGGGATGGGGGAGGGGGATGGGGGATAGGAGGATGGGAGGAGGGTGGGGGTGCCTTGGGCATGCTGGGTGGGGGTAGGGGGTAGGGGTAGGGGGATAGGGGGATAGGAGGATGGGAGGAGCGGGGGTGCACTTAGGCTGCTGGTTGGGGGGGTAGGAGGGTAGGGGGTAGGAGGGAGAGGGGATGGGGGGGGATTGGGAGGAGGGTGGGGGTGGTTAGGGGGGTTGGGGTGGTAAAGGAGGGGTAGGGGGAGAGAGGGGATAGGGAGGGATTGGGGGTTTGGGAGGGGAGGTGGGGATAGGGGATGGAGGGGTGGGGTGGTAAGGGGAGGGGGGATAGGGAGGGGAGGGGTAGGGTGGTAAGGGAGGGGGAGGGGATAGGGAGATAGGAGGAAGGGGAGGTAAGGGTTGGGTGGTAAGGGGAGGGGGAGGGGGATAGGGAGATAGAATGAGGGGTTGGGTGGTAAGGGGATGGGGGATGAGGGATGGTGGGGAAGGGCATGGGATGGAGGGAGGAGAGGATTGGGGATTTGGGGGAGGGGAGAGGGGGATGATGATAGGGGGAAAGGGGGAAGGGCATGGGGCGGAGGGGGGATAGGGGGAATGGGAGAAAGGAGGGGGGAGGCAGGAGATAGGAGGAGGGGGAGGGGATTTGGGGTCAGAGAGAGGGAAGGAATGAGGGAAGTTGGGGAATGGAAGACAGATAGAAGACACGGAGATAAAGGGAAAGAAAGAAAGAAAAAAAAATGAAGAATAGGAACTAGGACGAAGGAAGAGGGAAGATAAAAGCGACGGAAAGGCAGAAGAAGAAGAAGAAGAAGAAGAAGAAGAAGAAAAAGAAAAAGAAAAAGAAAAAGAAGAAGAAGAAGAAGAAGAAGAAGAAGAAGAAGAAGAAGAAGAAGAAGAAGAAGAAGAAGAAGGGGGGAACGGAGTAAAGGCGGGGAAGGGGGAGGGGTGTCTCCCTCCCTCCAGATAAGCGTCAAGGAAAAGGGAGAAACACCCACACCAGCATGCTTGTGTGTGAACGGCCTCCCGTGTGTACCTGTGTGCGTTTTGTGGCGTCGTGCATGTGCGTATATGCCCGGTAGCTCGACTTGTGTGACGTATGGTGTAGTGTGGTGAGGTATGGTGTAAATGTCGTGTTGTATGGTGTGATGTGGGGCAGAGTGGCATGGATGTGATTGTGCGATTAGGAGCAATGTGGTGTCGTGCGGTGTGGTGTCATGTGGTATGATGTGGGTGATGTGGTGGAATGCGATGTGTGTGTGATGTGATGTAGTGTAAGGCGTGGTTTATGATGAGGGGGTTTGTGTGGGTCCTAAGGGGTATGCAACCTATCTATTATAGTCTATTTTCTTTATCTATTCGTTGGTTTAGCTAAATATATATATATTTTTCCTGACAACCAACTTTTCTACCTTGCTATCCCGTCTGAAAATGAAAACACAGAACTCCATCACTGAAGTCACGCCCTGGAAGCTCACCAGACGTCGCGTGGGCGGGGCGGGAAGGGGCGTCCACCGAGGCCTACCGCCCGCGCCCTCGGATGGCGGACGCGACCTCTGCCACGGTCCGGGTCCGATAAGGCCTACGGGAAGGACAGATGAGGCGTCGGTCGTTGAGGCGGCGATAGGATGCTTATCAGGAGGGTTAAGAGGAGCGGGTCCCAGGGCGGCTGGGCGGGGGCGTAGGGGGAGGGGGAGGGGGAGGGGTGGAAAGGTCAGGGCAGCGAGCGGGACCACACAGCCGGCGGGGGCGGCGGCGGCGCGGCACCGGGCGGAGGAGGTCGCAGCGGCCGGCGGGGCCACACAGGAGCGGGTCACGGCGGCGCGAGACGGTCCGGGGCGAATCGCGGCGGGGGTCCGGGACCCGCTCGCCGCCATAAAGCAGCAGGCCTTTGACGCGGGAGTCGCCGGGCAATCATAAACGTCCGTCACCGCGAGAGGGGCCGCCGGGCCTCCGCGCGCTCGCCCCTCCGCCGGCGCTGCCACCTACGTCGCCGTCGGGACTCCGCTGCCCGGATCCAGGAAATCCGTCCGAACTCCAGGGGGCAGCGTGTCAGGGCCCTCGCCTGCACCCCGGACGCTCCTGTCACGCGCTGGAAATCTCATAAGAGCGCGGCGTCCGAGCGAGAAGAGCGAGCGCGCGCACGGCGGGCGGACGGGACGGCGAGCGGGAAGCGTCCGGCGCGGCGGCCTTCCCGGCTGTGGGAACGGACCGCCGAGCGTCTAATGCTGGCGATGAATCAACATTCATGGCAAGGAAGCCTTTTGGCTCTATCTGACGAGAGGAATCTCTGGCCATGTGTCTTTGTCACCAGCGCCTCGGCTACCTACAGCGCTGTGGACACTTTCACAGCGCTTCGGACACGGCGCGGGCGGCGCGGCGGCGCTGCCCGTCCACTTCTGGGTTTGAGCGCCCGATGCGGACGCGGCGCCGCGCTACACCTACGGGAAACGGTA